GTGATTACCTGTGGGTGTGATTACCTGTGGGTGTGATTACCTGTGGGTGTGTCTCTCCCTGCTCCTGGCAGCAGATGTTCAGGGCGTCCTGGTAATCCTGTCCAGCCTGCTTCAGGTGCAGCGTGGATGCTCGGTACCGAGCCCGTGAGTCCAAGCACAGCCCGAGCAGGAGGCGGGTCTCCTTCCTGAGAGCCTCCTGCTCCTCTGAGGGTGACACGCAGGTTAGTCACGTGACTTCATGATCACGCTTAAACTCAGTAGCAAGCGTCTGCCTTCGAGTCCCAGCAGAGGGACTAACGAGCCACCAAACTCTGCAGAATCTGCTGACTCCGCCTTCAGCTCATCTGTAACCAGCTGTTAAGCTCCTCCCTCCTTATTTTGATTTTATTCAAAGGCAAAGGGGTTCATGTGACACGGCTCAAAGAGACGCAGGCGACCCGCTCTAACTCCGCCCCCCTGTGCCACTCACCTGTGGGCTCCTCTCCCAGGAGCTCTTTGTGCTTCTCCAGTTTCACCTCCAGAGACTCCGTACAGAACCTGAAACCGTGCTCTGCAAGCTCCGCCCTCAAACAAGAAAGCACACAGAGTCAGCGAGCTGTGACCTCAGCTTCCTGTCAGCTGACCGGCTGAATTTGCCCTCACTTGTTCTGCTCGGCGTAGATGGTGGCCAGCTTCAGCGACATCTCGATGACGGCATTGTCGTCCTGGAAACAGACAGGAAATCAGGTGGGTTCACCCGCTGAATTCCAGGTGAAACGAGCGAGCACTGACCTGCGGAGTTCCTCCCGCCAGCATGAAGCTCATCGCCGCTTTGAAGAGTTTCTCAGCCTGCGAGAAACAGGAGCACAGAGGATGACATCACAGAGGACCAGCCAATAGCAGACAGACCCTTTGGCAAACAGACAGACAGACGGTCGCCGAGAACGAATGTGGAGAGCGAGCGGAGGAGAAACCGGTCAGCTGTGCGTGAACGCTGAGCTGACGACGTATGAACAAACGACTGTTTATTAAGGCTGCTGTGTTTCACATGCTTTAAAATTTCTATTTAATCTGAACAAGCCCCTAAAAACAGTCAGTGATCTCTCGGGTTTTATCACCACTGTTCAAGTTGTTTAAACCTTCCACTGTAGCTGCAGCCCAGCAGCAGTATATTAACCTCGTGTTGTGGAGGGATTATCTCAGCTGTTCTCCTGACTGGAGTTTGGTCCGCTTACAGCATCCTGCCGTGCGATTACATTTGTCTCTAACCACCGAGTGGAGAAGTGTTAGCATCATCCTCCAGCTTCACTGTGTTTATGCTAACATAGCTGTGTAGCTAGCTACCACGTAGCACATCATTATATAGCAGCTAGCCCAACTTCAGTAACCCTACAAACCGGTTTAGTTTCTGTCTTTGTTTATGTTGAAGTGACAGCAGAGCTGCAGGTCTGAATTTCAGAACATGCTGTATCATGGTGGAAACTTCTAATGACGTCAGGATAGCGCTCACACAGGGGGACGCTTTCTCCAGGTATACTTCCTGTTTCTGTAAATGGAGGGCAACAACTTCCCTTCCTGTTTGATGGCAGGTCCACTGGAGCATTTGGGGGCGTGGCCTACCTGCCGAAGGTCACTGTGGACCCCTGGTACTGCTCAAACAGCACAAACAAAGATGGAGGACAGGTCTGCTGCAGACGTGTCGTACATCTGGATCACCTGACATGATCTGCAGGTCCGGCGTCTGACCCAGACGGCGTCTCCGGCACCATCACTGAGCCATCGGTGCTAAACGCTGCCCTGATCCTCTCCACGCAACTGCCCAACGACACCCGTCCTATTCTAAGCACGTGCTGTGACACCGACCGTCCACCTGACAGAAGCCCAGCATGTCCTCTAAAGCACATGCTCCCGTTAGAGGCCCCGCCTCCAACATGTGACACAAAGAAAAGTGCAAACACAAACGCTCATGCCTGTTTACAAACTTCAGATTGTTTTGATCATAATAAACATTTGCTGTGACAGTCGATTAGTGTTTGTGTGCTCTGTGATCAGTCCCAGCCTCCACCAGCAGGTGTCACCGTTTCCTCTCTGTGATGGAGCAGATACTCACGCTGTCCAGCTGACCCTGCACGTAGGCCAGGTTCGCCATCTGAGGACACAGGTGAGCAATAAACAGGTAAACAGCTTAGTGTGTGTGTGAGAGGTTCACGGAGGTCAGAGGTCAGATGTTACCAGGCTGTAGGTGTAGATGATGGCCTGGTTGTTGTGCGTCTGATGAGCGAGAACAACGGCCTGATGGAGGAACCCCGAGGCGGCCTGCAGCTGACCCCGATGCATGCTGAGCTGAGACACACAGAGATGTCAGTACTGCTGCTCTCACACAGGTGTAACTCTGTGACGCTGGGGTTAAGAGTATTTACGGAGATTTTCCATTTTCGTTTTTTTTAAATCCCGCCCACATGTAAACGCTAAGAACAAAATGTTGGCCAATCAGAGGTCTGGAAGCCTGGAGGGAAA